CATTTATGTGATGATTTATAAGGGAATGAGTCATGTGACGCTACCTCGCATGCGCGAGATTTCCTCCCTCATACATTAGCTGCTTAAAATAAACTGAGATTACTTTCTGAATAGTTCTCGTATATTTTAATATTATACTTCCATATATAATCAGATCTCCGTTTCTGCTTCCTTGACATTTAAAATTGTATACACATTATTCAATGTTTATATATACATAAAGAAAAATGAGAGAATGAAATATTCTTGAATAAAAAGCTGAACAATTAGCTTTTAACTTGGTCGATTTCAGTATTCAGTAGGGAGTAAAGGGGTAGGGGGAAAGTACAGAAAACTTTGGCTAACGTTTACGTCTGGACTGGGAGTCCGTAATATCTATACAACATGAACTTCCTCATATATTTTGAATGGCTATTCACAAACTAAGCCGATCACGGTAGCCGAGCAGTCTAAGGCATGCATTCTCTTCGCTCGCTTGGAAACCGGGATCGTGGGTTCGAATCCCACTCAGGGCATGGTTGTTTGTGTGCGTTTTTCTGTGTTTGTGTACAGGTAGAGGCCTTGAGACGAGCTGATCACCCGCCCAAGGAGTCCTACCGTATGTCTAAGATCTAGAAAAACCGAAGTGAACGGAGAAATTCAAGGAGGTAGGCCTAAGCCCACTGGGGCTGTAGTGCCAAGGAAAAAATAATCATAAACTAAGCCGGTCACGGTAGCCGAGCAGTCTAAGGCATGCACTCTCTTCGCTCGCTCGCTCGGAAGTCGGGATCGTGGGTTCGAATCCCACTCAGGGCATGGATGTTTGTGTGCGTTTTTCTGTGTTTGTGTACAGGTAGAGGCCTTGCGACGAGCTGATCACCCGCCCAAGGAGTCCTACCGTATGTCTAAGATCTAGTAAAACCGAAGTGAAACGGAGAGTTTTATGGAGGTTGGCCTAGGCCCAAATAAGGGCTGTAGCGCCAATAACAAAAAATCATAAACTAATGAAAAACTTTTATATGCATTACCCATAGAGAAGTACATAAAACGCTTTGCTACAACACATTTTATTTCTTTTCTAAACATTTCAAACACTTAATGGAAAACTTATTTATAATGCTTATGCCCTTATAGTTAAAATTTCGTCCAGAAAGTATGGTAAAATATTTTACTGTACCAGAACTACTTGAAGGCAGAAGCAGTGAACTTTACAACTGCAGGTGGGACTTTTGTTGGGGCGTGTAATTTCGGCTGCGGTTGCTTGCGTGGGCAGACTTTATGACTTTTAATATAGCACGCACTCCGCTACTGGTATAAAAGGATGCTACTGCTGTAGCGGGGGGGGGGGGGGGGCGGCTTCGGCGTGAGGAAAGGCGTTNGGGGGGGGGGGGGGGGGACGGCTTCAGGTTAGGTAACGCAGTTTCGCGCGATTTCATCGTCAACACATAATGTGGGGAGAATTCCTATTATGATGGCAGGAGAGTGGCTACAGTCTCCCTTAGACTTATGGAGGTGTTACTGATTCATATTTTTATAAATTTCATTAACAATCTGATTTCTTCTTGAAGTTCCTATCTATTCAAAACAAATCCAGTTACAATAAAAGAAAGAACTTTAGTTCTCAGTTACAAAGACTTCTAGCGATTACATGATTGGACTACTGAGTTTTGTGGACTATGTTCATCGCCTGGTATTCTAAATAACACAAGTTTCGGAAACTGGGTCATTTTGTATCCTCAGATGAAAAGACTGTGTATCTGCTCTGTTGGGTCCACTGAAAAGAGCTAACGTAAATCAACGTCAGCCTAAGCCACCATGACAAAATCTATACATGCATCTGGGATCAGGTTTTGAAAACGGGAGATTATTGGAAAATTTACGATAAATATTGCAGAAATGTAGATTAAGACTTGAACTAAGACAGAAAAATAAGTAGAAAGTACATGCAACGAACCAAACCGATAACCAAGTTGAGATATACCAATGCAGAAACAACTTAAAATTTTCGTGATATTCTTTTTATTGTAGAAAGAAATTATTGTAAATACAAAAAAGTCCTAGGCAATGCCCATCCGGCCTTCTGTAGCACATTCCTATAAACAACTTATTCTATAATAGCGGTAACCCCGCGATTCTTAATATAATCTTAACTTAAATCTGATAGTACACTGTTAATAATCAGTACAATTACTTCTTTTACTTTTCTTACATATCTGTTTTATATAAATATAGGAACGTTGTCTATGAAGTAACCGACGCCTTGCGGAAATCTTTTTTTCTTTTAGCCTTAAGAGCTCTATAACTGACTTTGGGTATTCTTTTTTGCTGTTCTCAGACGAAATGTCCGTCACTTCTGCCCGCTGGTCCTCGTACAGTTTACAGTCCCAGAAGATATGTTCCTCCATTTGCAGCCCATCACCACATTCGCATTCGTTTTCATGATACAGAATAACCGCATACCTCTAGCGCTATCTATGGGAGAAAAAGTAAAGCTTTCACTATACCAGGCCGTGAAGGCCCATAGGGTTGTGAGACGTTGAGGGTCCAACATTATCTAGACAACCGGCTCAAAGATGGCGGTAAGTTTGTCAGCCGCGCTTTACTTCCCGAGGAAAATTATTTAATTAATTCCTGGTACTCATTTCTGTTAGAGGCTGAGTCGACCCCAGGGCCATAGTGCGGCTGGAAGGATTAGGTCAATTGAAAAAAATCCAATTCCCTCATCGGGACTTCAATCCGCGACCTTCCGGCTTGTAGCATAGTGCCTCAAGTATGCTATCGCGTTCTATGGAAGAAAAATTGAACCCGAAAAACCAAAATCATACAGATGCCCACCAACTCTTTCCGATCCTATCGACCTTCCACATAAATTTCCAACCTCTTTGATGATAAGGGCATGCGGGAGAAACCTGAGAAGACAGCTGTACTCCTCAATAGCAATGGCATTCAGAGCCTGGTACGTCTGACTTACCATCCCGATGCCTCCCTCGCCGAGTTTCTCCACCAGGCGAAGTCGGTGTCGCGGGAACTCTAGAAGTGAGGTAACAACTCCGTCTCGAGGAGGACCCTCGGGAATCTTGATTGGAGTAAACTTTCCGGGTGTGAAATGCTGTTCTCGCCTTTCCGTCTGAAACCAGTTAAATTAGAAAGGGGATTTATTAAATTTGAGGATCGGAGTACCTCCTGATAATTCTACGGATCCAGCAAAATTATCTCAACATTCAGTACTGTTCCATATTCTGTAAAGTAAGGCATTACACTACACGTGTCCTACAATAATCCAGTCTTCGACTTACGAACGCCACGGAACGCAATTAAGTACCAAACAACGGAAAGAACTTAAAACTTCGTCTACTGTATTGTAGCATGTATGCCCATTGCTAAATAATGATTCTATAAACAACGCCCAACGACAGCAGAATAAGCAAATATACGGCAGCCGTTGCTGAGTAACGGCTTCGCAAACAAACATATTCGCACGGTAACGACTGAACTACAAAACTGAGAAGCAGTGTTTTCTGCGTGGTCCGTGAAGAGGTGTTATAAGCGGGACAATTCTAGAATTTAGTCAGGATCCCGCGTGGAGGCGGGGTCGGATACCTCCACCGTGACTCTGCGAATCGTAGGAGCCGGAAAAGGGATGTCTCGAATCTGAGACAGTAAAAAATGGTCGCGAGTCCCACGGGACTCGGACCCGAAAATGAATGCGCTGGCGAGAACCAGCAGCAATTGTAAACGATAACCCGTTCTCTTGTCAGAGAGAGCGCGACAACAACCCGGCAACTCTCTGACAGTAATAAAAATCTGGTTGTAAGCCCAAGATGGGTGCTTTATTCCAAGAAATACTGGCCGACTGACCGTCGATCGTAATATAGGACTCAGTTTAGGCAGTTTTAAGACATTCGCCAGCCAGTAAGGACATACATAGAGGATATTGTTAGGGTCCGTCACCAGGAAACGGTTAGTAAAAACAAACTGAGAAGTCTTAGTAAGTGACGTAGTGAGAAGATGGGTGCGTATATTAGTGAGAGTGTTATAATTGCTTGTATCTGATGATCCGTAAGTGGTCAATAAATGCAATTCCGAATCCAAACTCCGTCTATATTCACTTGAACGCGTGACAATATGATTAGAGTTTTTCATACCCAAGATTCATATTTTATTCTGGAGTATGACATTGTGTATTTCGAGTGAACATAATACCTCCATTTTCAGGGTATAAGTGATTTCTATGGAAGTATGTTCGTCTGAAATACTGATAGATACACAGCTACCAAACAACATGGTATCACAATCTTAATCCAGGAGACCACAATATATTACTGTATTTGCTTTTCATATCAGAATTTATTGCGAAATTATGATTTTTTTTTGCCATTGATGCGTTGTTCACAGAAATATCACTAGGCTGAACATTGACATCTTGCTATTGACTTTGGTTTGAAATGTCTATAGAACAATAAAGTTAAACGAGTGTGTAACTCATATATATCAGTGCTCTCCATTTTGAGATCACAGAGTGCTCAATACAAGCAGTAATACAATTTCATATTTCCTTCTGCGCTCGTACAGAATCGGAAGACTACAAATATTGGATCACATTTCTCTCTTCCGGAGTATAGAGCTAGCCATACGTAGCTCTATATAGGGACATGTATAAGAAACTTGGTTTCAGAATAAAAGAGAACAAACAGTGTGTGACATACAGTGTTANCTGGAAGGATTAGGTCAATTGAAAAAAATCCAATTACCTCATCGGGACTTCAATCCGCGACCTTCCGGCTTGTAGCATAGTGCCTCAAGTACGCTACCGCGTTCCCCACCGCTAGCGTCATCTATGGAAGAAAAATTGAAACCGAAAAACCAAAATCATACAGATGCCCACCAAGTCTTTCCGATCCTATCGACCTTCCACATAAATTTCCAACCTTCTTGATGATAAGGGCATGCGGGAGAAACTTGAGAAGACAGCTGTACTCCTCAATAGCAGTGGCATTCAGAGCCTGATAGGTCTGACTTACCATCCCGATGCCTCCCTCGCCGAGTTTCTCCACCAGGCGAAGTCGGTGTCGCGGGAACTCTAGAAGTGAGGTAACAACTCCGTCTCGAGGAGGACCCTCGGGAATCTTGATTGGAGTAAACTTTCCGGGTGTGAAATGCTGTTCTCGCCTTTCCGTCTGAAACCAGTTAAATTAGAAAGGGGATTTATTAAATTTGAGGATCGGAGTACCTCCTGATAATTCTACGGATCCAGCAAAATTATCTCAACATTCAGTACTGTTCCATATTCTGTAAAGTAAGGCATTACACTACACGTGTCCTACAATAATCCAGTCTTCGACTTACGAACGCCACGGAACGCAATTAAGTACCAAACAACGGAAAGAACTTAAAACTTCGTCTACTGTATTGTAGCATGTATGCCCATTGCTAAATAATGATTCTATAAACAACGCCCAACGACAGCAGAATAAGCAAATATACGGCAGCCGTTGCTGAGTAACGGCTTCGCAAACAAACATATTCGCACGGTAACGACTGAACTACAAAACTGAGAAGCAGTGTTTTCTGCGTGGTCCGTGAAGAGGTGTTATAAGCGGGACAATTCTAGAATTTAGTCAGGATCCCGCGTGGAGGCGGGGTCGGATACCTCCACCGTGACTCTGCGAATCGTAGGAGCCGGAAAAGGGATGTCTCGAATCTGAGACAGTAAAAAATGGTCGCGAGTCCCACGGGACTCGGACCCGAAAATGAATGCGCTGGCGAGAACCAGCAGCAATTGTAAACGATAACCCGTTCTCTTGTCAGAGAGAGCGCGACAACAACCCGGCAACTCTCTGACAGTAATAAAAATCTGGTTGTAAGCCCAAGATGGGTGCTTTATTCCAAGAAATACTGGCCGACTGACCGTCGATCGTAATATAGGACTCAGTTAAGCAGTTTTAAGACATTCGCCAGCCAGTAAGGACATATATAGAGGATATTGTTAGGGTCCGTCACCAGGAAACGGTTAGTAAAAACAAACTGAGAAGTCTTAGTAAGTGACGTAGTGAGAAGATGGGTGCGTATATTAGTGAGAGTGTTATAATTGCTTGTATCTGATGATCCGTAAGTGGTCAATAAATGCAATTCCGAATCCAAACTCCGTCTATATTCACTTGAACGCGTGACAATATGATTAGAGTTTTTCATACCCAAGATTCATATTTTATTCTGGAGTATGACATTGTGTATTTCGAGTGAACATAATACCTCCATTTTCAGGGTATAAGTGATTTCTATGGAAGTATGTTCGTCTGAAATACTGATAGATACACAGCTACCAAACAACATGGTATCACAATCTTAATCCAGGAGACCACAATATATTACTGTATTTGCTTTTCATATCAGAATTTATTACGAAATTTATGATTTTTTTTGCCATTGATGCGTTGTTCACAGAAATATCACTAGGCTGAACATTGACATCTTGCTATTGACTTTGGTTTGAAATGTCTATAGAACAATAAAGTTAAACGAGTGTGTAATTTATATATATATCAGTGCTCTCCATTTTGAGATCACAGGGTGCTCAATACAAGCAGTAATACAATTTCATATTTCCTTCTGCGCTCGTACAGAATCGGAAGACTACAAATATTGGATCACATTTCTCTCTTCCGGAGTATAGAGCTGGTCATACGTAGCTCTATATAGGGACATGTATAAGAAACTTGGTTTCAGAATAAAAGAGAACAAACAGCGTGTGACATACAGTGTTATTCCGTCCAAAGCTTCGATGTCAGCGGAGCGGAGCGTGGAAGGACTTACCTTCACAATGTCCGTGGCAGCATAGTAGTTCTCGACTGGAGTGTTGCTTGGCGGGGTTTTCGTTGGGGTGGGGAAATTCTGCACCTCGTACGGAGGGGGGCGAGAAGTTGGAGGTGGGGGTGGCGTCAGGTTGTAGAATGACGAGGACGAAAATTTCACATCCTCCTGGAAGCTGTTCACACTCGTGAAATCTGTAGCGAAGCAACAAGCACAGGTGGTAAGATTACAGGCAAATGCAGGCAATTTGCGGCTCTTGTTCCTCTGTCTGTAGCAGTTATGCTGTCCTATTATTCTCTACGCAATTTTATATTTTGCAAATTGTTGTTTACCCATTTAAGCTGTCACTTAATTGTAAAGTGTAATTTATTGAAGAGTTCTATCTTATGAGATATAAAGCCGTGTAGTCCGTTGAAAGTCAACAATGACGTTTCGGAACAGCATACACCTTCATTTTTTAGGGTCGAAGAACAAACCAGCCTGCTCTCACACTGGTTTCTTGCTCGCCTTATTCTTCGACTTTGAAGAAAAAGGAGAAATATTCCTCCGAAACGTCGGTTAATTTTCGAAGGACTACACGGCTTTGTATCGCAAAAGATAGAGATCTTCATAGCTACAGCTCTGACAACTTAAAATCCTATATGTAATTTATTGTTTTCAAAGTTGCTTTTGTATCCCACTTTCCTTCCTACAAGAGAGGGAAGTGCGCTTAGGAGATCATCATGATCTCTGTGTGTATGTGGGTCCCTATTTAAAAGTTTCATGCAACAGACTGATTTTCACGAAATTTCGTACGATCATTATGACGCTGGGGTTAACTTTTAATCTGCAACGATCAGTAAAATCAAGGTGGTGGACATAGGAATACAGCATGCCACTAAGTACTTGGTTGCTATGGTGACCGAAATTACTAATTTTGCTGTGATTCTGTGGTTATTATTCGCTTCGAATTGTGCTATAAGTTGCAATATCATTATTAGTAATAGTATTATTTGTTTTTTTGATTATTTGCTTTGTCTGTCTGCTCGTGTTTATTTTAGAGTTGGCCTTTGTGCTGAGTAAACGTGTAAATTATAAAGGAATTAAACTGAATCATTATTATTGTTGTGTTACGTGCATATCAGATGATAATGTTGCTTGTAGAAACGGTGACTTACTTGGAACCGAAACTGTTTCTCTTATTCTTACTTCTTAATCATTAAAATATTAATTATACTTAGTATGAAACTAAGTATATACTTTTTATGTTGCCGCATAATGAATGGCGTGACTGCACATACTGAATTTGCATTATTGCCTAAATTATACAAACTGGCGTGACTGCACATACTGAATTTGCATTACTGCCTAAATTATACAAACTGGCGTGACTGCACATACTGAATTTGCATTATTGCCTAAATTATACAAACTGGCGTGACTGCACATACTGAATTTGCATTACTGCCTAAATTATACAAACTGGCGTGACTGCACATACTGAATTTGCATTACTGCCTAAATTATACAAACTGGCGTGACTGCACATACTGAATTTGCATTATTGCCTAAATTATACAAACTGGCGTGACTGCACATACTGAATTTGCATTATTGCCTAAATTATACAAACTGGCGTGACTGCACATACTGAATTTGCATTATTGCCTAAATTATACAAACTGGCGTGACTGCACATACTGAATTTGCATTATTGCCTAAATTATACAAACTGGCGTGACTGCACATACTGAATTTGCATTATTGCCTAAATTATACAAACTGGCGTGACTGCACATACTGAATTTGCATTATTGCCTAAATTATACAAACTGGCGTGACTGCACATACTGAATTTGCATTATTGCCTAAATTATACAAACTGGCGTGACTGCACATACTGAATTTGCATTATTGCCTAAATTATACAAACTGGCGTGACTGCACATACTGAATTTGCATTATTGCCTAAATTATACAAACTGGCGTGACTGCACATACTGAATTTGCATTATTGCCTAAATTATACAAACTGGCGTGACTGCACATACTGAATTTGCATTATTGCCTAAATTATACAAACTGGCGTGACTGCACATACTGAATTTGCATTACTGCCTAAATTATATAAATTGGCTTTCTTCTCTTTCATGTTTGTATAAGTTTCTTTTGTTTCATTCACTTGCTCGTGTTTAGCTTATAATTGGCCTCTGGACCATTGAGTAACAACGTACGAAATAAATAAAGAATCTATTATTATTATTATTATTATTATTATTATTATTATTATTATTATTATTTTGAGATGCTGCTAATGTTCATTTAAGTGGGTCCCTTGTCACCACGGCATGGCGCGTCCTCAGGTTGTGACTGGAGGAGACGGCCTCCAGATATGGACGGTAGCTGCGAATATACCGAATAAGCAGTCGCGAACAGCCGACAATGGGTGGTCTTCCAGCTTGGAGGTTGGGCGAGGGGCTAACAAATTCTCACCATAAAAATCAGCTTGTTACGAAATGTCACAAAGGGCCTTGTACCTGGACGGACTCCTTGGATAAACGACCTAAGCTAAAGAAAATGGACATGAGATTTGGACAGGCTGCTGAGAAAATTTGGGCCAAATAGGGATGAAGTGACGGGAGATTGGAGAAAACTGCATAATGAGAAGCTTCATAACTTGTACTCCTCGCCAAACGTAATTACAATGACCAAGTCAAAGAGTATGAGATCGGCAGGGCATGTAGCACAAATGGAGAAGAGGAATGCATATATGATACTGGCGGGAAAGCCAGAAGGAAAGAGACCACTAGGAAGAGCAAGACTCCTTTCTATGACGGCTTCGTGTCCTTGACTCAAGGCTTCTCAGCTACGACTGACTCCTCGGTCAAAATGAAAGTCAAAGTCAAATTTATTTTACGACTGGCGGTTTATCGCCAATCAGTTTATCTTGTCATCAAGCCCCTTGAGAACCATGACCAGAGATTTTTTCCCCAACTAAACCCTTACGGCATTAGTCCTTATTTAACATCCTCTTTGACGATAATATGGGTTTATCTGTTATGAATATGTTTGGCTTTTCGTCAAGTGTACTTTTCGCACACATAGCATGTTATTTAAAAAAATCTTGCTTTTGCACTACGCACACGTCCTCTGTCAGTACAGACTTTGCAGAGCAGATCACGCTTAACTTACATATCTCATGCTACAACTGCAGCCTAGTCACTTGAAGGTCGTAAGCTTGACCACCTCCAAGTTTAAGCATCTTACAGGAGCATCTTACAGAGATGCCCAGAAAACGAAGCAGTGTGTGTATAGCATCCCTTGCGACTGCGGCAGATGTTACATCGGTGAAACTAGCAGACCCCTAGAAGTACGCATTAAGGAGCACAAATATAATATGACACAGGGTTTGCTGGAAAAGTCTAAATTGGCCCAACNAGAGAAAACTGCATAGTGAGAAGCTTCATAACTTGTACTCCTCGCAAAACATAATTAGAATGACCAAGTCAAAGAGTATGAGATCGGCAGGGCATGTAGCACAAATGGAGAAGAGGAATGCATATATGATACTGGCGGGAAAGCCAGAAGGAAAGAGACCACTAGGAAGAGCAAGACTCCTTTCTATGACGGGTTGGTGTCCTTGACTCAAGGCTTCTCAGCTACGACTGACTCCTCGGTCAAAATGAAAGTCAAAGTCAAATTTATTTTACGACTGGCGGTTTATCGCCAATCAGTTTATCTTGTCATCAAGCCCCTTGAGAACCATGACCAGAGATTTTTTCCCCAACTAAACCCTTACGGCATTAGTCCTTATTTAACATCCTCTTTGACGATAATATGGGTTTATCTGTTATGAATATGTTTGGCTTTTCGTCAAGTGTACTTTTCGCACACATAGCATGTTATTTTAAAAAAATCTTGCTTTTGCACTACGCACAAGTCCTCTGTCAGTACAGGCTTTGCAGAGCAGATCACGCTTAACTTATATGTCTCATGCTACAACTGCAGCCTAGTCACTTGAAGGTCGTAAGCTTGACCACCTCCAAGTTTAAGCATCTTACAGGAGACTCTTCGGTTATTCTGGAACCTCTTGTAATTCCTCGGCAGGGACCACGTGCAGGAGACACAGCACAGTACTGTTGTGTGGCGCAGACCACATAGAAAACACAGTTTCATATATTGTTGGGCGATGGACCATGTTTACGGAGCCATTGCCTGGCAATGCATTGATCAAATCCGTTACAATATGTTAAAAGAGACATGCTATTGGAATCAGTCGAAGAAGTTATCATTCTTGATACGTACCAGTGAACTTGTAAAAAACATATTTGTACAACTGATTATGTTGTACGACCCTTATACTTGTGTATTAATGATAATTAGGCTTATATAAGAAATGTAAATCTTTAGGCTTTTGGCAGGAATTCTTGGAAGGATATCAGATATTCTCAAGGCATCTACCTGCACCGGACAACGCATACCTCCATACCTCAAGTGGGATTCGAACCCACAATACCAGTGTTTGAGCTGCCGAAGACAGTATGTGACTTCTCATACATACAGGGCGAAGCCCGACACAGAAAGTATAAGAGGCTTAAACTTGCCGGCGGTCAGGCATACGACCGTTCAAATGACTACACTGCGGTGGAAGCGAATACTACTAGAAATAGGGCATCATCTGCTGTACAAAGCCTGGACTAACACAGGCCTTGTATATATTGTACATAGAAATAGGAATTAAGATTAAAAATGTAAGTATATGTAAATACTGACAATGGACATACTAATACGGACTATGACTGACAAATGACAGACCCGACCTCTCGTCAGAGAGGGCGCCCCAAATGAGCAGGACAGTAACTTTCATATAAGGAAAAAAAACAGACTGAAGGAGTGTCAGTCCCAATGTGACTTGGACTTGGACTGAAAAGACAGTTGAAATATAGGAGCAGTCGCGGAAAGAAGAACCGGACGCGTGGTTAGAAGGTTTTATAGTGCGCGATAACTGAGAAGTCAGCAAGTGAAGACTAATTGTGCGGCTTCAAGATTTTGTGTGTGCCGTAGAACAGTTATATTGGGAGTGTGTAATTCACAGAGACCTGTATAGAGTGGATAGAATAGTGTGTAGTGTTTGTAAATTGTGTAAAACAGCAACAGTGTTATAATTAATTGTAGCACAGACTTGTAGGTTGTTAAATAAACCAATTAACAATCCGAACGGCGTCTTCAGTAGCAAAACACGTTACAATATATATAAAAGATATGAAATGTCTCTGTGCCTTCTCCCAGCAAAATGTCCACTGTGTACACAAGGCCACTTACATTCTCTGGGAGCAATAGCGTTCGTACAGATGCCAGAGGAATAAGGGTTGGCGGAAGGATTTTAGCTTGCCCGAGCTGACACTTTACATCGGGCCCTTCTGCCTGCAATTAAGATCTGTCCCGCGGCCTACATACACAGTAAGTACTGTAACAGCAGACTGCCTGGCCGTCTGCCCACTTGCAGAGAGCCGGTCCTTCCCGTAGTTCTCAGACTGTATTTCTCATTAAGGCGTGAAATCTGGGTTTAATTAACGTCGCTTGTCAAGTTACCCCACTCCTTCTTTCAAGCACCACAGTCTCTCCTGTCCTTTTCTCTATGTCTAGTTTCATTTCAAACTTTGTAAACAATGTTTGTTTTGTAAGATAGAAGTATTATACGTGTACTCCTTTTGTGCATAAGCTAGAAAGGGACGACTTATTTTGAAATCTTCTACTGAGTGAATAATATCATAAAGAAATGAGTAAATACTACAAATTTTGGTTATAATTCCTACAAACAGATTAATGTAATTACTAAATCTGACAGTACATGGAAATCTATTTTGTGTAAGGATAATAAAAGGAAATTCTCTTCAGCCTAGAGATTAATGAGTAGATTGTATATCTGAAGAAATGACAAACTCTGTACAGCAGATTCTTCCATTAATGTAATGAAATATGACGAATCTAATCCACTTCTCGACATTCCAGAGTTCCTCGTCGCGTGATTGGCATGTTACGTATTCGACCCAAGTTTGAAGCTCAAGGAAGAAATGTGTCATTTATCTCGGATAAATTAGCCATAGCTGTTCTCTATTTCTCCTGGCATTCATTCGATCATGTGTTTCAATTGCAATTACACCCTAACTAATTAACTAATTTCATGTAGCTGAGCCCTTCTTGAGAAGCCGCCAGGTGTGTAGCTGCTCCAGAAATTCCAAACATTTTACGGAACCCGAACGTTCATTATCGTGTTCACAAAAGCCCTTCAATGGTCCATCTTCTCAGCCAGATCAATCCAGTCCATACCATACCATTTATTCCTCTAAGATCAATTTTAATATTATCCACCCACCGTCTTGGTCTTCCTAGTGTTCTCTTTCCTTCTGTTTTTCCCGCCAATATCTTACAGGCATTTCTGTTCTCTCCCATTCGTGCTACATGCCTTGTCCATCTCATCATCCTTGACTTGATCATTCTAATTATACTTGGCGAAGAGTACAAGTTATGAAGCTCCTCCTCATTATGCAGTTTTCTCCAACCTCCTGTCACTTCATTTCTCTTCGGTCCAAATATACTCCACAACACCCTGTTCTCAAACACCCTCAGTCTATGTTCCTCCCTTAATGTCAGAGACCAAGTTTTACAACCATTCAGAACCACAGGCAAAATTATAATTTTGTAAATTCTAATTTTTACATTGGAATACAACCACGATATAAATTTTCTGCAGATATAGACAGGACAAGCAGACAATGAATTGGTTAGTTGTAACGCAGTACTGGTCTGGTAACGCATATACGGTTGTTAACTGCTCATTATCCTTCTGTAATAAGGATTATGACTGCAAGCATTACGTAGGTTTGCCCTGCCCCGTACCTGTTTCGTATACGCCACAGAGAAGGGATTAGGGGTCCATATACAAACTTCTCCCAATCTAACATATAGGTGGAGTTGTAATATTTCACTAAGATTTCTTCAATATTTATAAATACGTTATAAATTTTAAATTGTCATTAAAATCCAAAAGGATTTCCTGCTATTATTTCAGACTTTCAACCCACAAAAAAATCTTTTATTCATACTGTCTTAAGAACATTTATAAGTATTTAAAATAGCGTTTCAGTATGTGATATCAAAGGCTAAAGATGTGTAATAAGTAACAACAAAAGACGGAGTGATAAATGAAATATAAGCATTTCATTACCGATAAGAAACGTAGAAAATAAATCTCTCGGATAATCTGGCCATATTGATTGAATGAAGGAGGAGAGATTACCAAGAAATTTAGAGCACGAGTCATCAAGAAGGCAAGGAAAGGATGGGGACATACGTGAAATTTTAAAATACATAGGAAGTTTCAAGATCGGTGTTTTGGTGTATGGAGGTTGTGAGAAGATACAATATTACTGCGGAACCTAAGATGCCTAATCCGTGGAGAGATAACACAAAGAAGCAGCCGAAGAGATAAATAAGAAAACATTTACCTTTAAATACAAGCCGGAAGGTTCGGGTTTGATTCCCGATGAAGTCATTGGATTTTCCAATTGACCTAATCCTTCCAGTCGCACTATGGCCATGAGATCGACTCAGCCTTTAACAGAAATGAGTACTATAAATCTTCCTCGAAGTAAAGGGCGGTCTGCCGGCGCATAAGGCTGACAACCTTACCGCCATCTGTGAGCCGACTGTCTAGAAAATGTGGGAGCCTCGACGTCTCACAACCTTATGGGCCTCCACAGCCAGCTACAGGTATAGATTTATTTTCTATCAAAACACATTACAAAAGCAGGTCACTCACCAGTGTATTCGCCACTTTTGCTTGAGGACAGAGTATCTTTCTTGAGCAGACATCCGTACTCCTGCTTTGTGGATGGCAGCAGTTTGTAAGGCTCATGGTAGACTGACGAATTCTCACTATCCTCTGACTCCTCGCCCACAACCATGTGCCCGTAGATGTTGTTCACCTTCCCATTACCAGATGGTGTTGTCATGCCAGACACTTTATTCTGAAACAAAACCGGCATTAATAGTCTACATTGAAACTAAACCTGTTACTCGATGTCCGAAAGAGAATTACTTTGGGCACACCGTTTCGTAAATTGGTGGACCTAGGCCAGTGAAAATGAGATTATAGTTAGTTAGTTAGTTAGTTAGTGGAACTTTTCTCGATGAATGAACGTGTGAGAAAATTGAATTAAATCACAAGAGAAACAATGGAAACGTCTGATAACAAGTTCGCTGTCCGAGAATATAGGCCTGTATATTGTAATTATATTGTACTGCTGCATCCTGTTGCACTCTTCACTTCTGTCGATACTGAATGTTCAGGAACAAGACAAACAACGAAGAACACAACAGGAAAGAGCGTAACACACCCAACTACGACACACACACGCATCAGAGGGACCGCATATGCTTCAGCAAAAAATGAAAGCAGCGATTTCCTCATTAAACATATTTTTAACATCTGATGATGGCCATCTTAGCCGAAACATATAGTGTATTTTAAAAAAATAAAAAACTTTTTACACTTGTACAGGTGAACTTGTACTTGTGGAACGTAGTGTTGCACGTAAGGCAGTGAATGATCGACCCTATATATTGCGTACCAGTTCTTTTTATATAACCCCCAGGTAACATTTAACTGTCTAAAATATGTACAAAAATTGTGGGTCATAAACATATCTAATTACAGCACAGGCGTCATAGATTTCAGTAAGCTGTAAATAAGGCTTACTTAAAATATTTTTCAATATATTATATGGAAATAAGTGCTTCAAACTCTATAAACTCCTGCATATCAATGCCAGAATGTACTATTGTATACATTAGGTTTCATTTATGGATTATTAACTTATTTTACGGTGCTTAAACTTGCAAACATTTTAAGTCGTCTATTGACAGACACATTACTAAATAATAAATTGGAAAGTATCTGGAAGAAATCGATCATGATTTTACTTGAGGTATTATCAAGCACGTTTCTGAAGTGACTGAGGAAAAATCATAAAATCCAGTATTTTACGAAAACAGGTCTCAAGACCAAGATGAGACACGAAGTCTTCCGAAAACGACGCTGGAGTGTCACTACCCCTCAACCGCGAGTATTCGGTTACATGCAGTGCAGTATCTCTACAGTTGATTCGAGTGCCCCAAAATATATTGGTACTTGAGAGTAATTAATAACACGACAAACGAAAGATGCAAAATAATACGAAGAAAGTATCTTTAAGGGAGCTCAGTTCGAATCCCGGCTGGACCACTTGATATCTTGCCTGAGGCTTTTTAGTGTTTTTCCTCAGTCTCTCCAGCCAAATTCCATGATATTATCACGAAATTAGCTACGACAGCTTCCATCTGTATTCATTCCAATTCACTATTAAACAATCATTCTATCATTTGACGATATATTATCTAAACTAATGACAGTTTCGTTGCATAAACCATAGATAAGAAACACAAATCCTGTGAGACCCACCTTATTCTTAGCAGCTGCAACACGGGAGCGAGAGAGACCGTTGTTGATGATAGGAGTAGACAGGGCCATGTTCATCTTGAGGTCCTTCATGTTTATGGTGACACCCGGTTTAGTGCTGCTGGACACCAGGGCTGTGTGTTTGTGTAGTAGAGCCACTTTCTTACGTCCTCGACGCACCATGAGTACCACAGTGCACGCCAGCAGGAGTACCACCATCGCTAGTACCCCCGTGATTAAGCCGATGTAGGCTTGATGGTTGTTACTGGCACTTGTCGCTGCGGAAAGAGACGATATTCGAGGCGCTCAGTGGCGGGTAGTTGCGAAATTGCTCAGTACACCGTGTTCATTGTTATATAAGTCCAATGAGTAGAGCCTTTCTTGAGAAGCATGTAGTTAATAAATTCGTTGCCTATTATGGATTCCGAAGGTTCATCACCGTGTTTACAAGAGCGCACCACTTGTCCCTGTCCTGAGCCAGACGTACGTAGTCCACACTCCTCAATATCAATTTAAATATTATTCTTTACTCAACGCGTAAATATCTCAGGAAGACTCTGTTTTCAGATTTTCTCATTTAAATTCTGTACGTTAACATTTACAACAAGAAGAGCTGTCTGCCCGCAAGTTAGTATCAACAGCACCCCCATACCCATCAAACAAGAAGTTAAGTATTTAGGACTCCACCTTGACGAGAAACTAACGTGGAGAACGCATATAAAAGCTAAGAGAAGACAAATAGAGCTCAAAACCAGAAATATGAATTGGCTAATCGGAAAAAAAATCACAGCTATCCCTTGAAAACAAAATAATCCTATACAAAACAATAATCAAACCAGTCTGGACCTACGGGGTAGAGTTATGGAGATGCAGCAAACCTTCAAACACAAAAATTCTCCAAACGGTCCAATCCAAAACGCTAAGAGAACTAGTTAATGCTCCCTGGTACGTATCAAACGCTACCTTACACAATGATCTAAGCATACCATATGTAACAGAAGTCATCAGAGCCTACGCGGAGAAACACAAAAACCGGACCACTCAAAACAACAACCAACCAATAAGAAACCTCTTCAACCAACCAGCAATAGAAAGAAGACTAAACAGAATGTGGCCAGAGGATCTCATTAGATAAGCACCAGAGAATCACAGAAGGATGATACCTGCTTCAATATTACACATACCCATCCTTTTTACTCTATTACTCTATTTATGTGTATTGAGTAGATTGTAAAATTATTTTAAAAATAAAAAAAAAATTGTACGAAACACTATCGCACCTATCAACACCGAAATGAAAAAAAAAACAATCAATTACTGTGTTAATAGATCGTGGTTGGCGAGAAATTTGGCAGTTAGCTTTATCACTGATAATATACTGCATAACCGTCAATATTAACCTTCAAGTTTAGGTCTTCTGGCGTGTTCAGATCTTTGGGTTGGACGAATTCTTCCATCTGTTTGCTGGCCGATCTCCCTCCTAATGCAAACATCTTGAGAGGAATGAAATTAGTTGGAATTCTTAAAATGCTCTCTGAGCACTTCTGATGACAATCTTTTGCGTTCTCTCCCGAGTTATATATATTTACTTCTTGTCTAATATTTATGTTTCTTCTTGTGTCTCTTCTTCTACAATCTGCTACTTATCTCAGGAATCTCATTTCAGAGGATTAACTCTGCTGGAGCTGTTGTTTATTTAAAGTACAGTGCATAGCTGTATGCATATCAAATTACAGGCACAAAAGGCGCACGGATGAGATCACTTGCATGATTGGGAGGATAGTAATAATATTGGCTCTTAATAACTTCACAGGATGCGAACTCTATTCATTTGGATGAAGAGAGATAATGAACTTTCGGATTGCATGAGAAGTGAGGAATATATTAACTATAGAGGAGCCGGACAAATAATTCTCATGGCTCGTCCCCCACTACGTACACCCACATTCCCTGCGCTCTCTTGGCCTTGCATCTACCCTCCCTCTTGTATGGCAAGATTACTCCTTCTGCACTAGCGATAGGTGAGTGCCACCGTCAGGCAGGCTACGATGGTAGAGTGGGGGAGGATCTTTGCTTCTTAGTTAACTGTTATCCCCTCCGTCCGTAAGGATTCTTTGGGCGGCACAACAGTACTTGAGCTGCTCTTGGGCTCTCGAGAAATACTGCTTGAACTCATGTTTTTGCTCTACTTACCAGGGGTAATTTCCTTCCTAGCGCGTGTGGTTTCTCCGCCAGGATTGGTCGGGTTTCCTGAAGGCTCCTGCACGCTGTCCTGTTGAAGGAAGTATTGCTCGTCTGTGACGTTGCTAAGACTGGGTGCTGTAACAAACAACGGGAATTCCATTTCTTAGAATTGTCATTCAAGAAAAAGTACAGCACACTTTTCGGGGAACGACTTTAATGATCAGACCTGAAATGGAAGCCTAGATAGCTCAGTCGGTATAGAAGTTTGACTACGAGCTGGACGACCAAGGAATCGTGTTTCGATTCCTGGAAGAGACAAGAGATTATAGCTCAGTCGGTATAGAGGTTAGACTATGAGCTGGACGACCAAGAAATCGTGTATCGATTCCTGGAAGAGACAAGAGTTTCTTTCTTCATCACAGTGTCCAGACCAAATCTGAGACCCACACAATCTCCTTTCCAATGAATGCCGGGCACTCAGTCCTCGGGGGTAGAGTGGCCGGGGCGTGAGGCACATCCCAGAAGACTTCATTCTTGCTAGTCACAGCCAGGAAAATTCCAAATGCATTTTTAATAAGGAGACAACAAGTTATATCGACAAGACAACACGGCTTCACACCCAGTACACCATGATGCTAATATTGACAGCTGTGAGAACTTCAGAGCTGTTGTTATGGAGTCAGCAGGTTTCGCCGAAACCTGGTACCATCCACCAATGTACACTGACCTCACATAGCAGAAGAAATTGATCTTCATAATGATTGCCCTGAGAACCTCAAAACTAATTTAGTTATATGACGAAACTTGGCTCAGTGTTGTTAAGTCACTTGCTCCTAAATGTTTCTGTTTACTCCACAACACATGGAGAAACACGTTCATCAGTCGTATTGCTCTCGTGGACGCTGCACCGCTCTGAGCGAGGCGAAGACAAGTTAATTACAATTCCCTTGTGTGTCTATTTGAACATCAGGCAGAAGATGCTTAGGTAACATCGGATTTCCTTCTGACCTGGCACGCACCTACAATTATTGACCTTTTGAGGTCAAACTCCTCATTTCTCTTCCAGGACTTTTATGCGAACCTTTATGAATCACATTCAACTTGTTAGATGCCCATACGCAGAAGTTTCGATGCAAAGTTCCACAGATAATGGACTAATTTATTTGATTACTATGTAGGACAAAATATACTGCCATGTGTTTTGGGGGTGTGTGACTATTAGATGGGGTTTTGGATTGGATGACTGGGATTATTACACTCATATACTCAATTCGTAACTACAAGTAAAACAGCGCTATCGCTGCTCTACACACTTTACAGTTCACTGTTACATACATACTAGGGTTCTCAGTTCATCGCTAGTAGTATCCTTGCAACGGATTTCAACACAGTAACTACACAAGCCTCACTGTAACTGCAGCACACATGAAGTATTCTGCGCACAGCCTAATTCCTTTCTTGCCATTTCTCCTTTAATATCTTCGACTGCCATATCAACAGACTCCCTTAATTCTTTCTTCAGCTTGCCTCAGACCCTTGTTATATAGCCTCGGATCGGACTGAACAGAAAGCACTTTTACCATCGTTATACCTCGATTGTTGCTTACGTATTCTTTGTCGCAGGAAGCTGATTACCTAGTCGTTGCCTAGCAATGAATACGTATACTTTGGCTCCGCTATTCCGGCTTTCAGGCGTCATATTACAATGCTTATAGCCGAGTCCTTAAGCCTATATATAGTAGTACAGTAATGTAAATGAACCGATGTGGTGATAAATTCTCAAATATTTATGCGTCTCACGAACCATGTAGACACTGTCTAAAACAATAATTTATAATGACCAAAATCGGAGAAACACCCACACGTTATCCATGATTTTTCTCTCGTCACTAAGCAGTAGATATTTTGTTTTATATACTCCTGCCTATATATGTAACCTTCCTTCTGCCTATAAACAACGTGCGTAGAGATTTCTGAAATTTGTCTCTCTCTGTGAGCAGTACCGGACAGATGTTATGAAGCCTTCATTCCAACTTTACAGTCATTAAGTCCCACAAATCTCCCGTTGTTGCATATTTAGGTAATGTAGGTTTATAATCCCATATTAAAATATAATTTAGCTCGTATATGCGTGTAGATGACCACAGGAACGACATGTAATCAAGAAAGAACATCTTCACTGCTTGTAATAGAAAATATACTTCAAATTATTATTGTTGTTGTTGTTGTTGTTGTTGTTATTTGTCAGAAACTATAACTTAAGTACAGATTATTTCTACTTGTATGTCCCACAGTTTCTCTCACAATTTTTACTTTTATAATTGTTGGTTTATAAATATCATTACATATGGATTTTGTGAAAATGTTTATAATTCGTTTTAATAAAAAAAATATATTTGTAATCCAGTAGGCTGCTATTTATCACTGCAATACTTAAAACTAAAACTTCGCACGGCTGCCCTCATGCTCATTTGTATCCCGCAACAAAATTAAGTGAATGAGATTTACGTATATTTCTAAAGGCTATTTCCCCGCCCCCCTTGGCACTATAGTCCCAGTGGGCCTAGGCCTACCTCCATGAACTTCTCCGTTCACTTCGGTAGGACTCCTTGGGCGGGTGATCAGCTCGTCGCAAGGCCTCTACCTGTACACAAACACAGAAAAACGCACACAAACATCCATTCCCTGAGTGGGATTCGAACCCACGATCCCGGCTTCCGAGCGAGCGAAGACGGTGCACGCCTTAGACCGCTCGGCTACCGTGACCGGCTATAAAGGCTATTACCATACATAATTTTAGGGATGTTGATTGTATCTCACAAGTTCGTGCATCCGCCATATTGTTGCTAAGAATTATAGGAAATTCAAATATTTTTATGGACAATGGCCAGTAAAATCATAACGCCTATATCATATTTACTGAAAATCTTTTAGTTGGCTTGAGACCATGATATTGATATACATACATACATACATACATAGCCTACGTATGCAATGACCATCTCATAAGCCTGCTTTTGTTCTTGAGGAAAGGGAAGTAATGTAGCAAGAAATATATTTACGGTCATGCAAATGTCATAACTATTGCAAAAACCTACTTTATTCGTGAAAAAATTCAAGTCAGGTAACAAGAGTATATTTACACTCGTGCAGATGGCATGACTGTTGCAAACACCTAGTTTACTCGTGAAAAAATTCAAGCAAGGTAACAAGTAGTATCCTGTCCTGAGATTCTGTAGTGGCAATCGAAAACCCGTGTCGAATGAACAAGAATAAAGTGGACAGCTCTCTGGGGAGACTTATAACTGGTAATATAAACAGTAGGAGGGACAGCGGTTTTGTTTAAGATATATCAGCAAGCTAATTCTTTTGTGTCTGAAAACTCAGAAGACATTCTGAGTGAAGTAATTAATCACTGTAGCTAAAGATGTAAATCACTGATGAATGAGAAAAGGTTAGCCGCCTCTTAACAAGTTGTGAGGAACCGCTCATGAGGGTTAACAGGCTTGAAGGTGGGGGGTGCAGGAAGTTTGGAAGACCCTCCCCCCTTCTCCTAAGCATGCTGTGTGTTGTGAGTAAAAGCGTAAGGGTATAAGCATTTGGGGGATGGGGCAGATGAAGGGGGTTGTGTGAAGTCATTTATTTCAACTTGGTGACTTTAATGGTATGTTATAAACTGCCAAGAACAGTTGTATAACACACGCCCGAACACCCTGTTGTGACATGCTGTTGTGTATGAGAGGAAATGGGGACAGATTCTATTTGCATTCGGTGGAGGACACCCATGTCTGTCTGTCTGTGGTGTTCGAGCCCATGGAGTCAGCATTTATTCACGTTGAACACCGGATGGGTGGCCGGGCGGCCGGCCGGCGCTGTAGTCTAGATGCGTCTCTGTGAAACTGGGGGAAGGAGAGAACACTTTGGCACGCCGACACTAAATGCTGACGGGTGTCAACGTCGCCGAGGGTCCTTTTTTTACTCTGTTCTTGTTTGTTGTTGATTTTGGGGTGAAATTGAAACCAGAAAGCGTCATTCGTCGACTGACGTGAAAGAAAAGGAACCATGTATAGTATTCAACGCATGGAAGAAGGGGTAGAGAGTAAATGTAGGTTAGAACTGGGATCTGAACGGAATAGGAAAAGGGATCGTGGGCGGAGTGCTATGTAGTCAGTGCGGGCAAGTACTTCGTAATATCCGTCCTAATACAGTGAAGTTTTTAAAGCGCAGTTGATATTATCCGTATTATATGCTTTGAAATAAGAGGACTGAATTTTGTCCACACAGAGCGAGTTTATGTATTTCGTTTGATTCTGAAAATAAACAGCGATTTTTTTCATCTAGAACACTGTCCGTTGGTCTTTATAATGGAGATCTAGTGTGTATTGCGTGTGGAAGAATCAATTTTATTTTTAATTATTTAGATGAAGAGTTCTATCTTCTGGGATATACCGCCGCGTAGTCCGTTGCAAGTCAACAGATGTTTCGGAGGAACACGCCGCTTTCATCCATAGGGTCGAAGAATAAGCCATAAAAGAAGTGAAAGCAGGTGGAAAGCATAGCTAATTTCTTGCGTGGCTTATTCTTAGACCCTGAAGATGATGGTGATATACTCCTCCGAAACATCTATATTCAACGGACTACACGGCATTGCATCCCAGAAGATATGAGTCTTCTTAGTGTTATAATGTTTGAGATTCTCACAGGGTTTCTTATGAAGGTTATTGTCTCTTGGGATGTGTTATCGATATGTTAACCGACGTTTCGGAGGAATATACTGTCTCCATCTTCAGGTTTTTAGAGTAAGGCAAGGAGCAAAATAAATGTTGGCTAATTGGTTATATGGCATAACATCTCAGAAGATAGGATCCATCAAATTTATATTTAGTCAGCCACTTTCTTATAGCTCTCCCGTGAGGATAACGAATAGAAGTATAGCTCAGTCGGTATACCGACTGGCTACGGACTAGACAGCCGGGGTTCGATTCTAAGAGGAGTCAAGAAAGTTTATGTTCTTCATAGCGTTCAGGCCGGCTCTGGGGCCTACCCAACCTCCTGTCCAACCGGTACCACGAGCTCTTTTCCTCGGGATTATGTAGCCGGGGCCTGAAGTTAACCATTCACCTCCATCTAGTTCC